TGCTACTGCTACAGCTACTACTACCATCGCTTCGTGTGACTCGAGTGCCGGCCCTCTGCACATAGCACCGAGATGCCCGCATTGATCTTTCGGTTGGAAGTTGGTAGCATCTCGTTTCGGTTCTTTGCGTGTTGCTTGATTCAAGTGCTTTGCGGCAGTCGTGGGGAGTCCGGTCCGCCTGAGGTTCTGAGCTTATAGAGGGGTCGGTTGTGCTTCATGCTTTGAGCAGCGAAGCGGCGATGATGTTAGCCCCTACAGCCTTAATATAGGAGCCTCAATAATTGCCTATCTTATTTTGGGGGCTCCCTATTCTAGTTATACTATAAAAGGACCCCAGCCTGAAACTTTAAGAGCCCCCTCAGCCCGAAGAAGCCCTGCAAGTCTTACGCAGCCTTCAAAGCCTAGCGTCATGAGGCCGCAAACCTTTCACGCTTTAAGCCTTATAAGCCCTGATATAGGGGAATAATTAGAACAGGGTTTTGGGTTCCATTATACTGTTATGACTATATCAAGGAGCCTCCAAAATAGTATTGGCAATTATTTAGGCCCCTACTTTAAACCTTAAAGGAACCCTTAAAAGCGCTACTTGGAGGGTCGAGGGACTTAATTATTTAATTTTTTGTAGACTTATCTGTATCACAACTCCGGTTAGGATCCCTTTTGGGGTACTTATAACTCTACTACCATCTACTTACCTACTATCTACTTACCAAGTCCCCCGACCCGTCAAGTAAGCCCTATACGTACAGAGGCGGATGCTGCCCAGCAGGAGGCCTTTGAGCTACTCGCCTTCGCAAAGATGTGGGAGTTTCCGAAATCAAGGGGTACCTTATTGTAGGGTCCTAATAATAGGGATCCAAATAGTTAGGGTACTATTTGGGTCCCCTATTTTCGGAAACCCCCATGTGCTTCAATTGGTTTCTACATGTTTTTACATGGTTTAGTGCTTAGGGTTTAGGGTTTAGGGTTTAGGGCTCATGAGGGTTTCGATCGGGTGGTTGTTTGAGGACGGGAAATTTGAGTAATTCTGCCCTAAGTTCTAAACCGTAAACCTACAAAGCAGGGGGTATGTAGGCTGTTTTTTGACGGGTGATTCGTAGAAATCTCAGGGTTTCGCAAGTTTCGGTTAAGGCTGCGAAGATGAATTGAAGGATCTTGTCTTCCTTTTATGGTTATTTAGTTGGTTCAGGTTTTGTTTTTCGCTGTTGCTCAAGGTTTATACATCCTTTTTTACGGGAATCTGTTATTGCTTAAATTAAATTCCGCTATGATTGTTTACAGGGCGTTTCAGAAGGTTTCAGAAGATTATCAGGTTGCGGGGTGGGGTTTTGGCTAGTGCTGTGGCTTAAAAACTATTTAAAACTCTAATTAGGAGATCATGGCTATGGTGAAGGGTTTTCGGTTTCGCGCATCTTGGCGGTAGCTTCTAGAATCAGAAGGCCGCCCGAGGTTGCATTCGATGACGTGGCCTAGTCGGGATGGTCATTAGGGTTTAGGGTTTAGGGTTGGTTTAGGCTTCACATTTGGCCGGTGCCGTCCCTGTTTTCGGCGTTCTGGGCTTCGCTGCTGCCGCACTGCCTAGTTTGTTTTCATTCCTTCCCCATGACAGGAACGTTTACGTTTAATTACACGGGGCTTTACGCCAGCGTGTTTCTTTTGCAGGCGGCTGGATGTCAACGTAGTTGATGTGGGGTGGCCTATAAGACCCTCCGATGTTGTATGCGTGCGTGACAGCCTAACGTAGCATATAGGGTCCGGAAAAGTGTTAGTACGGTATTCTCCTTACTGTTCCTTACGTAGAGTTCCGTAATGTGAGCAATGTATAATAAACTCCAAGGCCCCTATATGTCCGGGTTCAAGGCAGTTTGGGGGCTATGAGGGCAAATCTTGCCATACTATAACCCTAAACCCTAAACCCTAAAACCCTAAAACCCCAAAACCCTAAACCCTAAACCCTAAATAGTGAAGGCCCAGACATCCGCTACAAAAAGTCAGGAAAGCAAAGGCTGCTCGCGCCGCCCGCGCCAAGAAGGCGGAAGAGGAGTCAGGCCGGGAAAGTGAAACGGGCTGCGATAAAGTTTTATATGGGGGCTTTAGTGATTGGTAGGGAGATTTGGGGTGTTATGATGACAGGATAACTATGTTGAGGAACCGCATGGAATAGTATTACTCCTTATTCTGGCGCCTCCGGTAGAGTTCAAAGAGCTTTTGGCGTGGGCCCAATGACCCAAACCTTGAGCCTTTTGGAAGTTTTACGGCAAGGGATCGCTGAAGACATTGAATAGAACAGAAGTATCTCGGTGGAAAAAACCGGAGTGGTTCAGCAGGTGATTCAGAACAGCCCTTATTACAAGCTTTTGCATAGGGTGTGGTGAAGCTCTCGTTCTCAGGCAAGAAAGCTTCAAAGAAGGCTGCCAAAACTGAGACGAAGAGTGCTAGCGAGGAGCTCTGAGCTCAGGTCCGAGCGCCGAAAGGTTTTAGAGTTTAGGGTTTAGGGTTTAGGGTTTAAGGTTTAGGGTTTAGGGTTTAGTTTAGCAGATCTCGTGTTGCTGAGCTCTGTGTTTTTTTTTTATTTTTTTGTCTTACCGCTCTTGCTACAGTGACTGCTGGTGGTTCTACTGCATGTTTTTGTATTGCTACATGCTAACTTGCAAGCCCGAATTGAGGGTTCAGCGATTCGATCGCGTTGAGATGCAGGAGTTTTCGGATGAGAAATGGGTTCTTGAGTTTCGCCCTGTGAAATCAGAGCTCTCTGACCTGTGCGTAGCTAGGCTGGGCCGCTTCAGCGGCCCAATCTTGGGTGCAAGCCCCTAAGCCTTCCCTAAACCCTAAGCCCAAAGCCCTAAACCCCCTATAAACCCTACAAACTCGTCTTTGGGCACTTTGAGATCTCAGACCTTAGCCCCAAGCCGTCGAAGGGAAGCCTCGCCAGCTCGAAAATCTTTCGCGCGGCATCGTAAGACCTTCAATTCTAGACCTCATGTGAAGGGGTAGGGATCAAATATAACATAAAAGCAAACAGGATCACTCAAAGGCAATGGGTGCAACGGCAGAGAGAAGCAGAAAAGACAGTAGCCAAAGCAAGGGTTTCTGGTCTTGTGGCTTTTGAGCAGAGTTTTGGCCTTGGGCTACTTGGCCTCGTTGGCCTTCTGCTTTTGTCCGGCCTTGCATGCTTGGCTTCATGGCCCCTGGGCTTTATATGGCTTGTTGGCTTCTTGGCTTTCTGGTTTCTTGGCTTCTTATTGTTTTTTGTTTCCCTAAACCCTAAACCCTAAATTTGTTTTTCCGGCTTCCTGGTTTCGTGACTTCTTGGCTTTCCGGCTTCTTGGTGTTCTTGTTGTTGCTTTGCCCTCCTGGCTTCATGGCTTGTTGGCGTTCTGGTTTCTTGGCATCCTGGGTCGTGATAAACTTCCAGCACGATTTTTAGTACGTTTATTACGGTAGTTTCTGTTGTTACCATAATTGTGAATATCATTCCTGCAACAACAACAACAACTACTACTACTACTACTGCTACTACTACTACTACTACTACTGTTGCTAGTAGTATTGTATGTAATGTAGTCTTTATAGTGTTATGACTAAAAGCGCACCGTAAACCCAAAGCTTGACACCCAACACCTCCAGACTCTCTTGTCTTTTTTGTTTTTTCTTGGCTCCCCCACCCTGCTGAAGCCCTCCCGATCCAAGCAAACCAAGGCCTGTTTAAGACTGCCCCTTTCGCTGCGGCGCGGCAAAAACTATATACCAAGTGGGTGCGATTTGAATCGGATCAGATAGTTCGGCCAGTAATGCATGGTGTCATGAGAATGCTACAGCAGCACTTCCATCGAGATCGAAGATAAATGCTGGATGAGTGTCCGGGCAACACGCAAGTCCTTTATCAGCAGGTTTTTTTGTCGGGAGTGGGGAGTATCACAATAGCTTGCCGCAAATCACAGCCTTAAAAGTTGCGATTCCTCTATGGCTTGCTGCAATTCAGAAGTCGACCGATTGGAATTCCTAATTAGCTCGTGGCAAATCACAGTCTTACATGCGATTCCCCAACAGAGTGCTGCAAGGACCCAACACACTGGAGGTTCACAATAGCTTGGCGGACACACAGCCTTTCAAAGTTGTGATTCCACAACAGCTTGCGGCTATGCACAAAGTCGACAACCTGGAATTCGAACAGCTTGCCACTAGTCACGGCCTTTCAAACTGCGATTCCCAATAGCGTGCCACAACACAGGATTTAACATATTGGAGTTTCGCAATAGCTTGCCGGAAAACACAGCTTCCAACATTGCGATTCCCCAATGGCCTGCCGCAGTGTTTGGGCCAACATATTGAAAAACACATGGTTTCAACAGCGTTTGATGCATTTTCAAGTTTTGGGTGCCAATTTAGGATTATCATTATTACTCCTGTTGTTATTTTCTTTATTCTCATTGCTACTTTATATATGTATATACACACGCACATATATATATATATATATATATTCATTTATTTATGTATTTGTTTGTTTATTTATTTCGTCTTTATTTATTCATTCATTTATAACTTTTGTTGATCCCGGCCCCCGTGGCCCGGGCCCTTGGAAATAGGAGGTGCTGAGATCGTTCTAAGAAGCTCGGAGTGGCTGCCATGTGCTTATCCCTGTGAATTGTGACGATGGGACTGAGAGTTTAGGGGTTTAGGGTTTAGACTGGTTGTTGTTGTTGATTCCTTTTGTGGGTTTTGGGATCCGTTGTGTGTCTTTTGCTGCTCCTTCTGTGTTAATTTGATCCGGCAGGCCTCTTGTGAGGTGTCCAGGACCCCACCCCGGATACATTAATGTCGGAGTATGCACTAGCGAATCGGATTGGCATTTTCCAGATGCTCCAAACTCCTAAACCGGAATTTCGATGAACATAGTAGTGACAATGCTAGAATCTGCTAGAACACCTCGCTTCAAAGCAGCTCTACTCATTTCTGTTCAAGTGTTCAGTTCAGTTTCAGCAGGCTCAGCTCACTCAGTCACTTACGCTTGGCCAGTCCTGCTACAAATGGCGTCATTACTTTAATGAACACCATAACTGCACATTGTTGCTTCTGGTTATAATATAGGAGTTCATACTTCTGGTTATAATATAGGAGTTCATACTTCTGGTTATAATCTAGGAGTTCATTCTTCTGGTTATAATACAGGAGTTCAGTTGTTGCACTCGGAGCTCAGTTCGAGGCTGATAGGTTCGTGCACAGCCCCGGCCAAAGACTCAAGCAGGACCCTGCGCCATGAGCAGACAAAGACTGATTCAGCTTCTTGTTTTAGGGTTTTAGGGTTTGGGGTTTAGGGTTTTAGGGTTTAGGGTTTCGGGTTTAGGGTTTAGGGTTTAGGGTTTAGGCAGGGTTCAGGGATTAAGGGCCTAGGCCAGGCTAAAGGCTGTGATGAAGTTTATTGGTCCTGGTGTCGTGTTTGTAGGGCTTGCGCCAGGCTTGAATCTGGGGTCTCCAGGAACTTCTGGGTTCAAAAGAGGTGTCATTGCAAGCAGGAGGCTCTGGAAGCCCCAACAACTTATACGCGAGGTTTTCCAGGCAGCTGAAAGCCGCAGCCCTCTCGAAGCTCCGTCCCTTCAATGCCCAAACTCCCCAAGGCTTGACAGACGTCTGATTGTAAGCGCTAGCATACGGCAGCCCCGGCTGCCGGGCTGGCAGAACGGCGTAGGTAGGGAGAGGGGGAGAAGGCTGGATCCTGGTTCAGCTTGTTATCGGCCAGACCGAAAAGCGAGTTTGCTTTACGTACCGCAATGGCCTGCAGCCCTTTGGCTCAGGGCCCTCGGATACTTGATTAACGTACGCTTTGAGGAATTGTTACTCGTGTTTTTCATCCCAGATGTGGCTTGCTTCCGGGCTCTTCCTGGCTTCTGCGATTTGGAGAGGCCGCGGGGCACGAGTAGATTCTCGTGCGGATGCACATAGTGACCACAAGGAAGAGGTGACCCATCGAGAGGCGACGGAGCTGCTCAAATACCGCACTTTCAATGAAACTGGCATACGCCTTCTCATCTCGGGTGCAGACCTGCCCCTCACATCGAGCCTTGTAGAGGAGGACTCCAATGCAAAGCTGCTTGAACAGCTGCCGAAGGAGTGGAGATCAAAGCTGGAGATCGTGAAGCAGCTGGGCCGGGGAGCCTTCGGGAAGGTCTTCCTGTGCAACCGGGTTGTTGTTTGAGTATTCTCATTGTCCATTCTATATGGGAGTTTCCGAAAATGAGGGGGACCTTATTTTGGAGTCCTTAGAATAGGGATCCTACTACTTCGAGTACTATATTAGGGTCCCATATTTTCGGAAACCCCCATATACGTAGTTTGTATATAATCACTGCTCCCTAAACCCTGAACTTTACACACTACTGCATCACTACCTTGAGTTAGCACCCTATAGCCCCTAAATCCCGCCTAACCAAGGCAAGGTTCTGTGCAAGTCGGACTCCGACGTGTATGTCTCTGTGAAGCTCATTCAGACTGCGGTGCCCTTCAGTCCCATGAAGCTGCGCCCTGCTGCTGAAGGGGTTAGTTGGGGCTTTATTAGGAGGCTTCACATGGGGGTTTCCGAAAATAGGGGACCCTAATATAGTACCCTAAATAGTAGGATCCTTATTATAAGGGCCCCAAAATAAGGTACTCCTAATTTTCGGAAACTCCCATATGGATTTTCGTAGTATACCAGCCTTAGGAATCTTGGGGGGTTACTGGGGGGATCTCTCGATTTGGTGAGTCTACTTAGTCATTTGGGGTATGGGCCTTTTCATAGGGCCTATTGGGGATTGTAGGTAGACGTACTATGTCACAAAAAAGGGCCTCGATAATTACCTACATCATTTTGGGGGGCTCCTTGTTATAATTAGAGTATAATGGGCCCAAAACCGTATTCTAATTATTAAGGCCCCTGCATTAAGCCATAAGGTGGATCAAGAGGGAGGTTGAACTCCTGGAGACGATGCAGGGCTACTCCGACTTTTGCATTTCGACAATTGGCTCGCCATCCTCCGTCGACAACAAAGATGGTACCTGGATCATGATGCCTTTCATGAACCTGGGATATTCCTGGTGTCTTTTTCGGTGTATTCTGGACCCGAATCCGCGTACAATCCCCGCATTATACAAACCCTAAGCCCTATACAGCCATACAGATTTAATGTTTATAGGCTCCTAAGATCTATCCCAGGAATGGAGGAGAGTTGCGAGATCTTGTCCGTCGCTGTCGGGACACCGAGGGTTGCAGAAAGTTTGACAAGCGGCTTCTTACTGGCGGTTAGTAGGAAACCAACTTCGTGGGGAATGAAGGAATGTGTTATACAGTATCTGGGTTATGTAGGGATGTTAGCTCCTACTATATTCCTCCGAACCACGAGTAAGGTTAGATTGGACGAAAGTCAACCCGCATTGGACAACTGCATACATCTTGGTGCTTTTCCACGACATTGTTGCCGGAGTGGAGGCGCTGCATGAGCAGTCGGGGATGCTCCATGCAGACCTTAAGCTGGAGAACGTGATGTTGAACTGTCAAGGTGACAAGTGCTACGCGGCTGTCATTGACCTAGGGATTGCCTGTAACCCAAAGCTCTGGATGCTTCGGAAGATTCCGCTTCCGATGCCCGGGGTCTGTGGAAGGTCCGGCACCCCGAGGTACCTGCCTCCTGAGGTGGGAATTTCCAGAAATTGTGGCGCTACTTTTTTTTTTTTGAGGGGGGGGTCCCAATAATCAGGACTATAGCATATTGGGGACTTTATTGGCGTTTCTCTTTCTTGTGGAAGCTACAAGGTCTACAAAGGCAGAACATGGGCCATGTCAAGGCCAGCGCGAGATGTTTGGGCTCTGGGGGTCATCCTCTACTTCCTCATGTACAGAGGTGCACCCCCATTCTTCCATGGGAATCCGGCGGAGGTGGTTCCCGAGTATCTTACTGGTGGTTAGTAGGGAATCAGGGGATATGATCTCTGTGTAGTATTGCCTTTTGCATGCCATAATTAAACCTCTATGTAGTCCCAAAGTAATAGTCCCCCTGTAGTCCCTATAAAACCCAACATGATCCTTTTATAACCCGTTTATAAAAAATATTCCCTTCTCCCCTACCAGCCCCCCTAAGCCCTACAAAGCTAAACCCTAAACCCCTAAACCTCTAAACCCTAAAACCCTAAACCCCTAAACAGCCACCCATAAGGTATGATGTTCGCGCAGACCCCAACATCCCTGGCACCAGGGAGGTTGACGAGCTCGTCCGCGACCGGGGTAGGTTAAAAGCAAGTTTTGGTGTGTCGACTCTAGGTCGACTCTAGGGTTCAAATTAGGGTTTAGGGTTTAGGGTTTAGGGTTTAGGTTTAGGGTTTTTGGGAGCAAGTTTGTTTAGTCGTGTTGCCCTGAATCCTTATCATATGAGAGAGTTCTATAAACAGGGGCCCCGCTTTATCCACAAATATTAGGTGCTGGAATACAACTCGTAACCAAAAGGGGGCTCATAATGAATAATCTATGTCATTCCTCTAAAACCATGGCAGCTCAGCATTTTTTATAGGGCTGCGAAACCTACCCAGGTGAGATGTTGACCGCAGACTACACCAAGCGCCCTTCCCTCGCGGAAATTCGGATGAAGCTTGAGGATCTTATCGAGCTTGAGGATTCTCCGGAGGCCCCCCCAAACCTTAGACCCCCCCTAAGCCCTAAGCCTAAGCCCCAAGCCCTGAACCGAAAGCCCTAAATCCTAAACTGCGAGGCCATGACGATGCTCCGCCAAAGCCCTGCAGAACGTGGGGCCGCAGTGGCAACACCCGAGTGCCTGCAGAGCCCTGATGGAGGGAATTGACACAGGGCCCAGTTGTGGAGAGCGAGATTCTATTGGGATTTAGTGGGCTATAATAGGGGTAATTCACAGAAAAGAACATGGAAACAACTGTACCATATTATGTGGGGATTACCGAAATTTACTGTTGCTAAAAGCCTCAACGCTCAATAAACTCTGTTTGACTTGCCTTCCAGAACTGTTGGGACCTGATGGCGATTGTGTGCGCGAGCAAAAGCGAAGTTGCGGCTTTGGGACGCATCCCTTGCACTGGATTTTTCTAGGGACACAAAGGGTTTAGGGTTCAGGAAAGAAGGCTTAGGGATTAGGACCCGAAACCCGAAACCCCACACCCCAAACCCTAAACAGAGAGTCAGGGTTTAGGGTTTCTTTGGAGGGACCCTGGGCTTGCTGGTGGGTTAGGGAACTTACTTGTAATGGGATGGTTATAATAGGCTTACTATAGAGGGCATGACAGAATGTACTTCCTAACTCCAGGGCCCCTGAAAGTCGTCAAGAAACCAGACCTACCAACTCCAAATTACTGGCGCTGGAGTCTTCCTGGAACTATCCTCAAAGACACTGACAACGGATCTAAGCAATGACCCCTAAACCCAAAGCAGAGACATCCGAAGCACTTCAAGCCTTTTCTTCCACCCCCTGCTTCCTTGCTTCCATCGCTTACTGGGGGGTTAGCATGTATTCAGGGCATGTGTATAGGGTTTGGGTTTTAGATTTAATAGGGAACAAGGGAATAGATCTTCGACTCCTAAGCTCTTTAACCCTGATATAACCTGATCCCTATTTAAGCTTTCCTACAGGATAAATGTTAGCCCATGGGGTCCTGAAGCAGACCCCTCCACCTCAACCACAACCCTAAACCCTCAACGCTTAGGCCCCTAAACCCTAAACCCAAAACCCCTAAACCCTCAACGCTTAGGCTTCCATCTCGATCCTGCACCGGCCAGGTGTGCCCTGTCCGTGCATGGGGTCGCCTGTGTGCGGTTCTCAGCGGTTCAGGAGCCCCTGAAGGTGTCAAGGGACTTAGTAAGTAGGGTTATGATTGGGGCTATAAGTAGGGTTATTCTACCTATAACGTTACTTAGAGCCTCACTTGCTTAGCACCATGAGGGTGAGGATTCAATGGAGAACTGATCCTCTATTACGGTGCCTACACGGTTGGCTTGGCTTTTGGAGGAGGGGGGGTTGTTAGCATGCCTTGCGGTTTCTGCTCGGCTAGTTATATGGGTTTTGGGGTCCTTATACTAAGGATCCTATTATTTAGGGTACTATATTAGGGTCCCCTATTTTCAGAAACCCCCATATGTCTTGGGTGTTGCTACAACTCAGTGACTTCTTTGGGTTTTCGAGGAGGGGGTTGCTTGACAGAGTCGCCCGGAAGTGTGTCCAAACCGTTGAGAGGTGGGCTTCGAGTGCAGGATGCTGGCTCGTTTAGAGTGGTTTCATCAAAATCGTACCCGTGCTTGACGAGTTGGAGGCGAACTGCCCCTTCAAGAATTTTGAATTTCGGTGACGTGGATTCGGAGAATGGGATCGACGTCAGACGTCCCCTCAGTAGCACTCCCGGAATGAGACGACTGTACTTGTTTTTTTGACTGTTACTGTAAGGCTACGTGGGATGCAGAAATTCAGCCACCCTGGTCAAACACAGCTTCTAGACAATGGGCTGTCGGATCGAGACAACTTTTGATGTGGAATCCGGTTTAGGGTTTAGGGTTTAGGGTAACCCGGGCTGCTGTGTACGAGGCCTGCTGTAAAAAAAGGTAACCCTAAACCCTAAACCCTAAACCCTAGGTGTATAATGGTCTTTGTAGCACGGTTTTGCTACAAAGTCTTGCGTTGTTGTCTTCTCCAGCCTGCTGTAAAGCTGGGCCAGTCACTCTATTCAATCTTCTCAGGCTTCCTGGCCTAGCTTGTTCTTATCTTCGGATCATGTATCCCCGAAAACTCGCAAATTTCACCGCGGCCTGGACGCACTCCCCGATCCGTGTTGAAACTCGAAGAAGAAGAAGTTGATACATTAGAAGACATCGAACTCTGATAGCCTCAGCTTCAACCCCAGCTGATATGATCGACCGGGCTCAAAGCGGTTGGCTGGCACATGTCCTTGTTGCCGCAGTTTTCGAATTTTTCACATGCAGGTTTCCGGGGTCAGACATCTTCAAGAGGACTAGCATGCAGCAGCATTCCAGCGCGTTGGTTCTTACTGAACTTGTTGTTAAGTAAGCGTAGGACGTCATAGCGCCCGCTCATTGTCCGGACAATGGCGGCGCGCTTGCCAGTACAGCAGAGTTATGGCCGCTTCGCTTGATTTTAGGATGCTTGGGTGTAGTTCCTGCAGCACAGTTGAGTAAGCCCTCTGCAGATTCTCACCGTTCGTGCAGGCACTGCTTAAGCCCGGCGATTCAGATTTTCAGTTTTAGAGCCGTCTTATCTACCTCCCATTTTGTCTACCTAGGACCTATCTATTTACATCTGTCTACCATTCTGGCTTTCTCATCGCTTCGCCTTGCCAGTGCTTCACCTTGGGACCTTGAGAGTATAGCTCCCCCGCCCCTTCCGCCCCTAAAGAAGGCACACACACAATAACTCAGATTGTAATCGATCTCTGCAGAAAGTATTTGTCTGAAGTCCGTTTTGAGTGTACTGCTATCTGCGCCGAACACCCTTTCGTTTTGCACTTGCAGCCCCCAGCCTTCAGTCCCACGTCCCCCAGAAAGTTGGAACATGATTATCCTCATGCCCTTAAGGCAAAGTATAAGGGATCCTAGCACTAATCCTCCGAAACCATGTTCCAACTTTCTGGGATTCGCTGTAGGGGCCGAAAACAATATCCGTCCCCTCTGAAATATACACACCCCCAAACGCTGTTCTAGTTGATTTTCCTCTTTCCGGATGCCCATGCTAATCCTTACAGTCCCTACGATTTTGCACATACCCCAAGAGATGAGAGATTTGTTTGCTTGTTCACCCCATCAACTCTTGTGCCCTAGGCCGCATGAAGAGTATCAAAGAGGACCTTACACTCTAAACTGATGCCTGCAATGCGGGCTCGTCCTTGCTAAGTAGGAGGTGAAGAACCCTAAAACACAAAACCCTTAACCCCAGTAACTAGCGAGAACAGCCCTCCCAGGAGGCACCCTTGTGCCTGGTCCACCTGTGGCTATGGCGCAAGTGGTTGTGCGCTCCCCAGTTATGCACATAGGCTTAGGGTTTGGGGGTTTGTGTGTGTGCAGGAGGCTTCATGTTTACGTCCCCAAAGATTGTGCACCGCGTCATGCTTTTCTCAGCGAGTGCCGGTGCCTGCTTTGAAACCCTAAAGAAATTTCCGCCTACCCTATACAAACCCTGGAATGCGTTAGTGCTGTTTCCTGTACCATCGCTAGTCCTCGTACCTGGACATTGGGCGGACTGCTGCAAGGGACTCTGAGCGGACTTGTCAATTTGGACTCGCGGCTAGCGATGGCCTCATTTCTGAGATACTCACTCACATGCAACGGAAACTATTGACGCTTGGGGGTGCCTTGCAGCCTTTTTCCCTAAACCCCAAACCGTAGAACCCTAAAGCCTAAACCCTGTTTGGCAGCCCAAGCTCCTGGGTGCCGGATAGATACGAAGTATGCAAGATGCGCGTTAGAGGAAAGCCTCCCAAATCCCGCAACAGCACCCGCGGTAAACTCGATGCCAATAAAAGAGTAGCCGGCAGGCCGAAGCCTACCACATAGAATCTGAAAGCTTTGTTGCAGGTGCAACCTGGCTCACCCGCTCTCCCGGTGGCACGCACCATTCATGTAGCCAAAGAGACGCCTAATCTGCTGGCACCGACTGTGCCTGGACTTCAAAACGGGCTGGGGTAATAAATGATAATGTGCAACGGTGTTTTCACGCTCGTCGTCACCCGTATTGAGCCATTCAGGTTCAAATGAAAGCATTGTTGACAGTGGAAGCAGTCCGTACGCACGTTGCAATTGCAAGGGTTCTAGAGGTTGGATCCAGCTGCGTAGGTATTGGGTAGCGATCCTCAGAGAGATTCCCATCTAACGGGAATTAAGCTAGAAGCACCGGGCTAACGCATGAGGACCCATGGCAGGGCACTGCAGCATCGTCTGATGCTTGTTGAAGCCACAATTTCCCTAACCCGACATGGCCATCGATGCTACTGAACTTGCTGTAAGTGTGTGCGTGTGGGGGTCGTACCAATATCAACGAGGTACGGTGTGCGGTGTTTGATGTGTATTGCATATATCCGACAGCAAAATAGGCCCGAGTTTATTCGGTCCATGCGCTTGCAAACGTAAATCCTTGATGCTGGCACCGCTGGGTATGCTGAAGCAGGATATCTTCACCATGTGCACACATGCTTGGCACAAACGTGTGTCGTTCGTTCAAACGGTTCTGGTGAGCGAGAGAGGAACAAAGCGAGAGCAGCTAGAGTTTTTTGAAGGTGGTGTAGGGGCCTTAACAACTGGAATCGGGGTTCCTTTAGAGGGATCCTTAAAGGGTTCTATAAGGGATCTATAATAGGGTTCTGGGATGGAGCAGCGTGTAGGACCATGGCACGGTGTAGACGTAGAGCAGAGCGAAGCAGGGCTTGAAGTTGCTCTTGATCGGATTGTTTTTTCGATCCTCCGCCAGGGCTGTTTGGCAGATGTTGACCTCGGCAGATTTTCATACGTCGTTCGTGTGGTGAGCATTTCCTGCTGGGTGAGGGTGATACTCGGCATGCTGCGGGTGGCTTCTTGGACATGTATGCTGCCACGGGGATTACACCTACTTGTGGGATGTAGCCTTTGAGGCAATTTGAACTTTATCTCGGTTGCGTAGAAAGGCCCTCCTGCCTCATTTCCCATGTCGCCTAGCAAGTAGTACTCACCTTTAAAACCCCAGCCTCGAACTGAAGTCTTCCAGGTGTCTATAGTGCTTCCGCATCCTACCGCCGCTGTCCAGCCGGAGCCTCACGGAGTGCACAAATCTTGCGTTAATGACAGATCTACTTATAGGTCTAGAGGTAGATACAGAGAATACGGGAACATGTACGGTAAGATACTCGTATTGAAGGCATGGAAATCCATGGAGTTCCGAAGCAAAAAAAGGCATGGATGTCAACGGGTTCAGTCTTCATGCAAGCAGCGTGATCAGGTGTAAGGAATGAGCAGAGAGTGCGTGCGTGACGCGGGTGTGTCGCTTGCCCTACATGTGTGAATGCATATATGTATGTTGAGGTCATTGGCTTTTGCTTCGTCACTTCGACCATACAATATCGAAGATGCCTCCTCAAGTGCGGATGTGTCAGCACGCCCCAGCATAGCTAAGGCTCTCTCTCCTTTGCCCTTGCTTGCCCCAAGCCTTGAACCAAAAACCCTAAACTGAGCCTTGCCGGCGCCTTGTGGTGCGAGTGTGAGAGTCGAGACCCTAAACCCCTATGTTGAGAGCAAGTCGGAGGCCGCAACACCTGCCGATGCTCCTGGGATCCAAGAGCGTGGACCGTCTCTACCGTCCTGCACCCACAGCCTGGGCCTTAGGGTTTCATGGGGTCAGGGTTTGGGCCTTTCGTCGCTTCAGGGGTAAAGTTTTGAAGATCCTATGTCGGGTTTATGTAGCCAGGTGCCCGTAGGTTTTCAAGCGGTTTTGAATCCTGGGTTGGTTCGAGCTCTCACAAAGTCCTCGGCATATATGCAGGAGCAGCAGCCATTTTTGTTTACAGAACGCTCGTGCCACGATGCCGGACTCGACCCAGCCCGTAACCCTGAACCCTAAACTCTTTCAGGAAAGTTTGTTGTTTACGTAAAATTGTATGGAGGGCCTAGGCCGTGAGTGGTACCAAGGACCTCATTTCCTCTTCTCCCTGCAAAAACCCTAAAACATTGTAAGTAAAGTACTTCTTGATAGCACCCCTCATAATGGCTCTGGTGCCCTCTGTAGTACCCCTTGTACCCCAAACACGAAGACTGAGCAGGCACTGGGAGACGGGGTTCGCTCATGGGCGCCGATTCCCGCGACAACGCCCTGTTCCTTGCGTGAACTTGAGGGTGGAAGGAAAGCATGTAATATAGGGGCTTTAAACATATATGAGGGTCTTGGGGTCTATTCTAGTATATATTATGGGTTTGTTTATAGGGAGCCCTAAACCCTAAACAGTAGTAATGACGATGCATGCTCGACTTGTTGGCCCCTGGCCCGCCATGCGAAGTCCATGTCCTGTTTCTTTGTGATCACTCTGGTTGCTGAGGCCGTCTTCGTGGGAGATGATGATGCTGCTGATGATGATGGTGGTGATGATGACCGATGATGATAGGGGGTGTTTGTTATCGCTAGCTTCTTACTCTTGGGGATTTCGCAGTGTCGGTTTGTTTGGGCGAGGTTTTCTTAGCCCGAAGGCCCGAAACTGCCACACTCTGCACAGCCTACATGCTGCTCGTTCCTGAACCCTGGACCGCTAACCCTTACCCCTGTTGACCCATGCTGTCTCGACGTCGTGGTTCCAAGGATGTTGATGCATGGTCTGACGTCTGAACTCACTGCTCGTCCCGCCATCTCCTTGCCTAGCCGGCATCGCCTGAGACAAAATCTCTGAACCCCGATGGCTTGGTGGGACGAAAAATTGCTCCGAACACAAGACCTACAGTAGATCTCCTGAGCACAGAAGAAGCCGTACTTATCCGCTAAAGCCGAGGCACTCCACCGGGTCCACCACAGACACCGCAGAAAGTCTGGACATCGCAAGGGGTCAAGGCGCCAGTCATTAGGCAACATTCCAATGACATAGGGGGTACCTGACTTTGGGGTCCTTATAATAAGGATCCTACTACTTAGGGTACTATATTAGGAACCCCTATTTCGGGAAACCCCCATATCATGTGTCTTTGGGATAGTCTGGTTTCGAGGAAGCGTGCTTCCTGATGCCCGGTACCTCGGACGGACTTTCATCAATCGGGTTGCAGGCAAGCTTCGGTTACAAACCGAACAGCCCCATATCTGCACAGACTCCCAAATCTTGGATACACTATGATTCCGAACCCTATTCAAACTGCTAAGGCCCCCTTTTTAAACTGAACCCCATGATAGATCCCTTCTAGAACCTTTGATTGCAACGGAACCCTTCAAAGGAAGCCCTATATCTAATCATTGAGGCCCCTCAAAAAGACGAGGCAGGCCCAGGGTTGTTAGAAGCCCAGACCACTCCGCTAGGATCTCGGATCCATACGGGGCTCTTTAATGTAAGGAGGTTTTTTTTCCGGTCCTGGGGTTCTAGGAGGACTCTTTACGGGTTCTATAGATCTCCCTCGTTTCGCTTCCCGGAAAAGGATGCAACGTTTCGGGTTGAGGGCGTATATGCCGAGTCCAGGTGTAAAAGGTAGCTTTCCGAGTTGGGCACGGACGCCTGCTGTTTTGCACACGGGTTTCGGGAGTAGCTCCGCACTGGGCAATTTACCTGAGTTTCCGAAGATTAGGGGTACCTTATTTTGGGGTCCTTACACTAAGGATCCTACTATTTAATTTAGGGTACGAGATGAGGGTCCCCTATTTTGGGAAACCCCATGTTAGCACAACCTTGGCGACCAAAAATCGAACTTCTCATCGGCCATGCCGATCTGAAAGCCCTCAGCTTTAAGCTTAATGTTCCCAGTGGTTGATGTGGCAGACTCCTGAAAGGCAGCTTGCGCCATGCCTTTGCAAGCATCTTGGTCTGAACTCAGGCTGACAGGGATGCATTTGATGAGGGTTCAGGGCTTGGCTGTTTTTTGGGGGTTTACCGTGTAGGATTTAGGTTGGTTGTCGGTTGGATCTTCCTGTTCTTCTTCTTGATATTGGGAACCCCAAAAGGACATAAGCATAAGCATTTTATAGGGATATCCCTACCTTATTGGGCTTCATTATAAGGGGATCTATATGGGATATCCCTATCCTAATTTTTGCTTAGTAGGTTCTTTTTGGGGCCCTATGTTATGGTCTGATCGTCTCGCGCCTTCGCGCGCAGACTGAGTTTTCCGTGGCAGCTGCAATTGAAAGTTATGTAGATGAGACATACACGGTTTAGGGCTTTGGGTTCAGGGTTTAGGGTTTAGGGTTAGGGGTTTAGGGTTTATGGTTCAGGGTTTAGGGTTTAGGGTTCGAAGTTTAGGAATACAGTAAGACAACCTGGACTTCGCATGTCCGAAGCAACCTGAGGTCTAAAGCCCCTACCCTGAGTCTCCTCATTAGATCCTCATTTATCACATAAGGAAGCAAAGCGTCCTCCGTCTCAGATAGCTTGCCGCAGCTGCAGCAGTGCATGCTGTATTCTCAGTGAAGATGGCTGAATACTTAACGAATGACTGATGCAAAGGGCTTTCTACAGTAGCATATTCGTACTATGTTATGCCCAGAAGCACAGTCTAATGACTAAGGCTCCGATATTACAGCCCTTTGCGTAAAAAGACGCCGCAGAGGAAGGCAGCAGCATCCAGCCGCCCAAGGCTATGATGTACCAAGCATCAGTAGGCACCCGACGAGCGGCTGGACATGAATCAGGTGCCTTCCAGTGTTTCTACAGCAGCCCCCCGCAGCTCCATGGGCTTCTTGGATCTGCTTCGAAGTTCTTAGGATGGGGCCCGGGATGGACGTTTCACGAAGTTGGGGAGTTAAGCTTACAGGCGTCTCGCCCCAAATCTTGTGTACAAAATTGATAGGCCAGCAGAAGCTGAGGTAGGACATCCGAAACGGTATTTGCATTCAACTCGTCAGGGATTCCGACAGTTTGGGCTCCAGGGGTTTATGTAAGAGTTTCTGGAGTCATGGAGATCCCTGATTACGAACCCCACTTCCTTTTTCCGGGGAGCTTGCACGAGGAATCCTAGAACAGTCCGGATTGATTAAGAGATGGGGGAAGGTAGTAAAAGGTGGCGGCACTTGTGGGGCATTGGGTTTAGGGTTGCAGGGTTTTGTGGTTCAAGGGTGCAGTGTTGTATCGTGTGAGGTCTATGGGTGGTTCGGGCTTGTCTCTGTGTTTGAGGACATTCTTGAGCTCAATATAGGGGCCTTGATAATTACCTATACTATGTTGGGGGTTCCTTATAAAATTATAGTGTAATCATAGTGTAATGTACCCCAAAGCCCCATTCTAATTGTGAAGGCCCCTACATTAGGATATTGCTTCTCGTTCTCGCAAGGAGCCGCTCTTTATTTTCTCTCGCCCGGGCTCTTATAATTCTGTTTTTGTGGGTGAACGCCGTCTAGTCTGAAGCTTCGCGTGCGGACTGCCAACCACGGACCTGGTCTGGCTTGGCAGTTAGCGGGTGTGTCACTCCGAAACTCCTACACCTCTAAGCTCACCAAGAACCCCAAGAGCCCCCCAAACCCAAAATAACAGACGACGAAGCAAGCACTGATCAACAAGCTTGACAGAACCCTGTAAACTTTAAAGCCCTTACAAAATGTAAAGCCCGTATCAGCATTCGAAGCATTCACAGAAACCCATCCCTCTCAAGTCGCTTCTAGACTTGCCAAGCGATCAACCTTTATGCGACCCAAAAAATCAATCAGAGCTCTTATCTTATATATTTTTGCAGAACCCCATTAAAAAAAAGCTCTGAACACCCTCCACTTCGTGTAAAACCCAAGAGAGAACCCTTAACAACAACCCTAAACCCTAAACCCCTAAACCCTAAACCCTTAGCAACAAGAGCAACTGTGAGGTCAACCCGGCTCGCTTCTCGCCACCCCATCCTCCTCGGAGAAGCCCAGCGACAGCCGGCCGGGTAGCTCAAGAAACAGTGGTTTCAGGTTTTCTTGTTAGGTTTAAAGTGTAGAGTTTGGGGTTCAGGGTAGTGAGAGCTGAACTTCTGCGGGCTCGGACATTCAGGCGATTGCACAAGTCCTGATGCAAAAAGGGTAAGGGGAGTTGTAGCGTTCTGGCTTAGACCTTCCGGTTCAGGAGTTGCGTCTAGGGTGTCAGGTGTCAGTGTGTTTAATTTAGGGTTTTGGGACTTAGGCTTTTTCGGTCTTCGTTATTGTAAGGGCAGCAGTCGAGTCCCTTGTGAAAAAAGGCTTCTAGGGCCTTGTTTGTCGGTTTTGCGGGTTTAGGATTTAAGATTCGGGGAATTTCAGGGCATCCAGGTGTACACAAATCCAATCATATGTAGATTCGAACTATCTGTCGAGTAGACACATTAGCGAAAGGCCATGTAGGCATGTTGGATCTGTTGGTCTCCAAAGGCGCGGACGCGTGGGCTTGGGCTCCCTCCGCGAGCAGCTTGTTCAGGCTGCCTGGCTGCGTGGGCTCGCCTGAACCCCAAATGCCCAATCGAGCTCAACCTTTTATGATGTTAAGAACTTGTGGTTTCGGCATTCGAGGGGTTTGGAACTTCCGATGATTCTAGCAGGTTGGGATAATCTCTGTAGAGTCGCTAGTATCAGCAGCAGAAAGTCGAATCATAATCCATCTTGTCCTCATGCGACTCTCGTTCTCGCAATTGCGGGTCTCTTCGCAGCATTTCATGGACAGTTTCAAGTGCAATATTTGTGCAGTGTGCACGTAGCCTCGGCAAATCCTGAAGTTGCTCAGCACGCGCACAGAGGCCTCACTTGAACAAACTGCGAATCTGCATCGGGCACCTGTTTTCTTCTGGTGCAGGAAGTTCAGGTTGCGACTCTTGTTTTTGTTGTGTGTCAGGTGTGCATGCACCCTAAACCCCCCTAATGTAGTGGCCTAAATTACCAACACTAATTGGGGGGTAGTTATAGTACAGGTCCCCAAAACCCCTATTCTAATTATTAAGGCCCCTCAACCCCTAAACCCTTATAGTAGCCCTGATAGAACCCTTCGATGAACCCCGTTTTAAAAGGAACCTCAAAGCTTTATTCTAATTATAAAGGCCCCTACATATCCTGCGCCCGGAGCTCTGAGCACAGGCCAGCGTCGAGCTCGGCCGGATGCAGGCCACTCTGGCAGCCGCCTGGCAGATACAAAGCGAGGGTCATAATGTAGGGTTTAGGGTTCAGGGTTAGGGATTTAGGGTTTAGGGGTTGAGGGTTTAGGGTCATAATGGCGAGGTTTCTACTCGGGTTCTACAAGGGTCCTGTATGGGGTGTAACTGGGTTGAATATATAGGGCCCTTATTAATTACCTATACTATTTTTTGGGGGTTCCTTAAATATAGTTATAGCAAAAAAAACCCAAAACCCTATTTGAATTATTAAGGCCCCTACATCAGGTGAGTCTAGGGTTACCGGGTTAGGGGTTCTAGGGTCAGGGAGATCGAGTCGAAGGTTTACAGCTTGAAAGTGCAGTGTTTCAGGGGTTAGGGCTGTGGGCTTTTGGGTCGTCGGGTGCAGGGTTCAAACTTTAAGGTTTAGGGTTTAGGGTTTAGGGAGTCTGTCTGATAGCAAACCTGGGTTCAAATAAGGGAGTCTGTCGGATCACGGGGTGGGGCCTGTACAGCTGAAACAAGCAATGATACTTGGTGCTTCTCTATTTCGAGATTCAAGCAACGGGTCGTAGAGTCGTAGAAGAGCTCCTCAATGACGGCAGGACGAAATAAAATCCAAACCTTAATCAAACACTGTGAACCCATATGCTTATAGCCCCACGTCATGATGCCTTTACCCATAGGCCCCAGAGTATATAGTTCCTTTTTGGGGTTCATATTTCGAATCCTATAAGGTAACCCCAAAAAGGAACTACTATGGGGCCTATGGGTAGAATTTAAACATCCTTATAATCCCTAAACCCTAACTCCTGGAAGTTAACAACCCTTTTAAGCCCTGAACCCATTTTTAGAATTTAATAAGGTAACCCCAAAAAGGAACTACTATGGGACCTATTTGTAGAGGTGGACTTCCAGTTCTGCAGGACATGGGAACCAAGCTGCCTGCTGCCTGGACTGGGGCATGCCCAGGCTCAGCCGGGAAACTGCACGGTTGATTAGGGTTTAGGGTTTAGGGTTCAGGGTAGCAAAGAGTTTGGGTTCACAAAAAGCGTTCAGGGTTTAGGGTTTAGGGGTCTAGGGTTTAGGGTTTAGGGTTCAGGGTTTAGGGTTCAGGGTTTAGGGTTTAGGGTTCAGGGTTTAGGGGTTTAGGATTTATTTAGGGGTTTTGGGTTTAGGGTTGAGATGGACTTTGCGAGCTTTCTACTCGGGTTCTGCAAGGGTCCTGTAGGGGTGTAACTGGGTTTAATATATAGGGGCCTTACTAATTTAATTACCTATACTATTTTGGGGGTTCCTTATTATGGTTAGAGTATAATATACCCCCAAAACCCTATTCTAATTATTAAGGTCCTTACATTAGGCTAATGGTTTGGCCGTCTTAGGGCTCATAAGGCGCATCAGGGCGTGTTTTAGAACAATTCGGGCTTCATCCGGGTCTCACCATTCGATGCGGGTGCTCGCGTTTTCCAGCACTTGTCTTGCTCAAGCCTCAGCCCTTTAATATAGGGGCCTGAATAATTACCTATACTATTTTTTTTGGGGGGGGGTCCTTATGATAATTATGGTATAATTATTGTATCATAGACCCCAAAACCCTATTCTAATTATTAAGGCCCCTACATGACCCTAAACAGCTAAGAACCTTGAAGCCTTCAAGCCTCAACCTTGTAAGCTCTGAGCCGAGACCTTCATCCAATCTTTCAGCCTTGAGCCCCTAAAACCTAGAACCCTAATCCTTAGAATAAAAAACCCTTATAAACCCTGGAACCTTAGAATTTAAACATCCTTGTAATCCCTAAACCCTAATCATTAGAATCTAAGAATCCTTATAATCCCTAAACCCCAACCCCTGGAAGTTAACTATCCTTATAAGCCCTGAACATTCATCCCTAGAATTTAAATATTCGTATAATCCCTAAACCCTAACCCCTAGAATGTCGAAATCCTTAGAAGTCTTAAACCCTACTCCTCAGAATTTAGAAATCCTTTAGCCCTAAGCCTACGACACAGGGAAGTCGGGCCAATGCAAGTCCGGGAGTACCGGGCCGAAGGACCTGTACCGAAGGGAGGGGCTTTTAGGGTTTTGGGCTTGGGAAGTTTAGGGGCTTTTAAGGTTTAGGAAGTTTAGGGTTTTTTGGGGTTTTGCGTTGAGGAAGTTTAGGGGTTTTTAGGGTTTCGGGGTTTAGGAAGTTTAGGGGTTTTTTAGGGTTTAGGGGCTCAGGGCCTTTAAGGGTTTAGGGGCTTTTAGGGATTAGGGNNTTAGGGATTAGGGGTTTAGGGGCTTTTCTACAGAAGTGCAGGGCTTTGTCTTAAGGTCTTTATGGGCTTGTCATGTGGGTTATAAAGGATGTTGCAAGGTGTGTATGGGTTGTTGGAGAATATCGGGTATAATCTTGAAACCTGAAGAAGCGTAGGTTTCTACGTTTCCATACTATTCGGGTATGATTTTTCGGGGTCTCAGGTGTAGGACAGTAAGGATTCGGGGTGTGTTAAGATCTGTACATAGATGTCTGGAGTGCTTGGGGGGGGGGGGGGGTTCAAGGACGCTTTGCGGATTGAGGCTTACATGGGGTTTGAGTCATTACCTTCACGATTCCTTTGTGTTCCTATGGTCTAGGGTTTGGGGTCCAGCAGCAATGAAGTAACCAGTGGTTCTTGATATGTGAAGGTAGTGTGGGATTGTTAGGGGTGCGTGTTCTGTCAGACGCTGCAGCCTGCAGACCACTTTGATGCCCTCTGCATCACAACGGAAACCCATCCAGCCTTCCATCCACATGCACTTGGGTATCGTTCCAGGGCTTAGGATTTGGTGTTTAGGGTTTGTGGCTTAGGGTTCAGGGCTTAGGGCCTTAGGGTGTGGGGCCAAAACGCCACTAGCCCAATTTCCTAAACCATGACATTTGCATTTGTGGCAGCGAGAGTGCAGGAGTCCCCTTTGCAAGCAGTGCAGCGCGCTGTGAAGCAACTTCAAGGCTTCATAGGGTGGGGGATTTAGGGTTTAGGGTTTAGGGTCAAGCAGAAACAACTGAGTTTGTGTGGGAGACTTCGCATTGCATCTCGGTGCGTTTTCTGGCTGCATTCTGCCGTTCCGAGCGAGACCACGGCTTCAGGTGTTCAACTTAGACTCACTCGTATTAGTCCCTAAACCCTCAACCTGATCCCCTCAACCGCGAAGCGCAAGTCTAGAACAAAACCCTGAAATTCTCTTGGGCTCGACTTTGAAGGCTTGGCAAAGGATATACCCTCAACCCTAAACCCTAGTTAGAGGTTCTCTATGTTAGGGTCCTATGTTTGTGCTTTGACGCATGTGCAGTTAGTTTCACTCTGTAGACCTCGAACCATATGCCTCGCCTGGATTGTCCGAGTGTCAGCGCCGAAACCCTAGTCTGTAGCCTCTTCACACGCTAGCCAACTTTCACTCCCGAAGCAGACCTCGGCTGTGAGGGTGTCCTCAGCCATGCGAGAGGGAAAAAATACCATAAACCCTAAGCTCCTGAACAAAACTAAAACCCTAAACCCTAAACCCACAATTTAGGGTTTAGGGGTTAAGTTAAACGGTAAGAAACCAAAACCCTAAACCCTCGACGATGACATAGATGCTGGGAGCTCACTGTCGTGCACAGGAGCCGAGGCAGCTTTGAACTGTGCTGCACCCGTGTCAGTACTTGTGACTTTGAGGAGATACTCTTTTGAAACGGCTCAGTACTCTGCAGCATGCCTGCTCTGGCTTTTTCCGCTTTTACTGCTCAGATTTTTGTCTTGCTGCATATGTATGGCGATGGGCATTCTGTCGAGCACTCAAGTAGTGGTGCCTGGTGCAGGAGTGAGAGTCGAGACCCTAAAACCTGAACCCAGAAACCCTAAACCCTAAACCCTAAACCCTAAACCCTAAAGCCACTTTTGGAGGCAACTTGGAGGAAAGCCTGACCTCGGCGGAGAAGGCAGGTTCAAGTCCACGAATGGCCGTGGTCTTACTGTCCCACTAAGGGGGCTAGGGCTTAGGGATTTTTGCGGTTTAGGGATTTAGGAGTTAGGGGTTGAGGGTTTAGGGTTTTAAGGTGTCGTGGCTTAGGGTTTTGGGTCTAGGATGTTGGAGCCGATGACGAAACAGGATGGCAAAATGTTTTCAAGTCTCAAGCTTACTGGTTTTATGGGTTCAGGCCCAGGGAAAATGTTGACTCCTTGGTTTGGGGGAGGCTCAGATGAAGCAGCCCTACTTTAATACCAACGGTTTGGGCGAGCCAGAAATCTGGAGGCTGTTCGCTGACGGCTGTAGAGGGTCTGATGTGCGTCAGATTTGCAATGAACTCCTGCTCCTGCCCCGTTACCTTCACCTTGCTCCAAAGAGGTCCCGACCGAGGCTTCATCATAGAGCTGTGTTTCGTTGCATCTGCCCGGCACCGTGAGTCCTAGGAGGCAAGGGTCTGTGTCAATTTGCAGGTGCCGACGTCACCTGACACTCGAGCCTTTGCTGCAAGTTGGTCAGGACGGAGAAATTCATGGGACCTGCATTCCCGAAACATCAGATACAGGAGGGTGATGCGTTCATGTATGTTGTACAGGTGCGGCTCGGACCCCTACGCCACCTGCAGTGGAATCCCTAACCCAACTCTCGAAAGCCGCAACCTCGGACAAGCGAAGCCTCCCTGCAGGCAAGCGTACCTTCAGCGCTTCTTCTCGCGAGCCGAGTGTCAGCTCCGTCATGAAAGGCGGGAGTTTTGGAAGGGTTTTGCAAGCTCCTTATATTATCGTTATTATAATCGATCATAGTATATCATATTATGTTTTGGCATATTATCATATACTGACCTCGCCCCCCACATCTTGAACCGACCGTCACAGCCGCCCGGCCTTGTTCGCATCCTCAGCTTCCTACGAGTTCGGAGTGGGATTCCAATGGCTAGTGGAAGCACCGAAATCGTTCGGAGTCCCATTTGCGAAATTGGAAGTGCTCTTGTGGATTTCGGGGCTCTTCTTTCACTTTCACTTCGTATCCTCGTTATTGCCGTGCTGCTGCAGTTTCGTGTCATACTTTGTTGCAGGGCAGCCCCAGGCCGGGCGCCAAACACATTGATCCTTCCAACATCTTCTTCAGCCATCCGAAGCAACTAGAGTGCAGAGTATCCTTGAGGTGACATGACGATCTCGCTATCCTGAGATCCCAAAGCCTCACAACCCTAAATGGTAGTTCTCTAAAATAGGGTCTCTTTTAGGCGCCTTTTGATAAGGGTGCCGTACCACATTTTGGGGACCTAAAAAAGGGATCCTAATTTAGAGAGGTACCCAAAAACATCTCAGCTGCACAGGAAGAGGATCCCAGCAGGCCGGGGCTGGCCTTTACTGGGTTCTTGTTGAGGGATTTAGATTTAAGCTACCATAATAAGGAAACCATATTACTTACTATAGATCCTTATTATGGCATTACTAAAGATCCCTATTATGGTAGCATAAGTTGAATCCCTTAACGAGAGCCCCGTTTAGGTTTTTCTTTCTCCCGGGCTTTTGGGGGTTTCAAGTCCAAGGCCGACCTCCGTAGTTGGGCGTTCGAGACTTCGGAGCCCTGGCAGCCCAAGATCTTGGGCTTATGGTTTGCCCATCAGCCCCATAGTAGTTCCTTTTTGGGGTTACCTTATAGGATTCTATTTTCTAAATATGAACCCCAAAAACGAACTACTATGGGGCCTATGGTTAGGTCCAGGGTTTCGGGTTTAGGGTTTGCATGGGCGCTGGCCGGCACCTCACTCCGTGCTGAAAAAGGGTTTGCGGCAGTCTAGATTGAATGCTGGATTCCCAAAACCCTAAACCCTAGAACCCCAAAGCCCTAAAGCCCTAAACCCTAAGCCATGTGGGGATTTTACGTTTAGGGTTTGGGGTTCAGTGCTTCTGTGGCAGGGCTGTGTGTTCTAGCAACCATCTGCCTCATTCGGCCTTACCTGCCGTGCACAAAGCCTTCAAACCCAGCCCCGCGCCCCCAGAACCCTAAACTCTCTTCGTCGCCTGTGTCAGACATATCTCGCCCGGCTTGTCCCTCTTGTGAGTGGTGAAACCCTAAACCTTAACCTAAACTTATCCCCACAGCTGAGTCGGAGATCATCCGAAAAGAGGCGAGTCCGGTGCAGCGCACGCGGCCGATGCGACAGGCGTGGGCGTGTTGTTCTCTTGGCCCTGGTCGGTTCACAGTACTTTAGGGTTTAGGTTTTAAACATGGGCTTAGTGTTTACAGGTTTATTTTTGGATTTAGGGTTTAGGGTTTGGGGTTTAGGTTTCAATATCGGTCTTTGACTGCCAGCTAGGTCAAGGCTCCAGGACTGATAGCTTGAGGAGTTGATAAAACTTCCATTGGTGAAAGCGGCTCTTGCTCTAAGCCCGATACACTCACATCGTCCTCACGCCAGCTCTGGTAGCTAGGCCTCCCTTTGGGTGCCAGATTTCAGTGAAATCAGCGTTTCTGTCGGCCCCAACCTGCAAACATCGCCTGACATCGTTTTCGCGCGACCTCAAAACTTCTAGCCACGATGCTGTAATGTGGCATCCGGGCATCTTCCTGGGTGTCAGTCCTGAGACCTTAACCAAAACCCCCAACACCCCGAAATTCTTCAAGTCGAGACTCGGAAGAACCTCCCACTCCCACCCCCACACCAACAAAGCTTATCTTAGAAACCGAGGGAGCCCTAAACCCTAAGCCCTCACGCCTTTTGCCCTTCAGCTGTTAGGTCTCTGCGCCCTCCCGGCGTCCCTCGGAAGCTTCGACCTCTAGCCGAACTGGAGGTGGAGGGTTTGTCTTAGGCTTCATAATGATGATTAGGGTGTAGGGTACAGGGGTTATAATGTTCAAGCAGGGGCAAAATTATCTATAAGCCAAGCGGAATCTTCAAAAGCAACGGCTCTGTAGGCGAGTATGGAGGGTTTGGGGGTTTTGTAGGGCCTATAGGGTGGGTCTGAATCATCGCGATCGGGGTGGCTCATGCCTCACCTCGATGCTTCAGACTTGGAGGTGTGTTGAAGATAAAGTTCTGGTACGATGGATCTCGCCATATGCTTCATAGCGGAATTCGTAACAAGGTTCCACACTCACCTTCATATTGGGAGTCATATCCCGCTTGTTGGCCTTATATCATAGTGCAAAATTAGTTCTGCAGTGTTTCAGACTACATCATTAAGGCTTCTATTGCCAGGAATTTTCGATGTGCATTCATGCAACCCTACATACCTACATACACATCCTTGCTTGCTTGCTCACTCTACTTGTGCAACGTAGCTTAGCTTGACTTAACTTTCTCACTCCATGGCTGCGCACTATTGAATCACTATTGGCTATATTATATGTGTGTATATACATATGTATGTAGACACCTTCGGTGTGTCCATGAAAGTCTCAAACGTCAACGTACGTTTCCGCATGTTAGAGCAGGATCCCTAAGCTCTCACCTTCGGGGCTGGGCATGAGGGCCTGAAGGGGTTTAGGGTTTTTGGGGTTTTGGGGTTTAGGGTTTAGGGTCAGGGTTTTATAGGGTTTAGGGCTTAGGGGGTTTGGAGCTTGGGGTTCAGGCTTTAGCGGTTTTGGGGTTTTAGGATTTAGTGTTGTTAGATGATATTGAATCACAAAAAAGGAACCCAAAGGCTAGGGAACAGTATACATCAGGTACTAACTATTCAGGCCTCTACATTGCCTTTACTTCCGTGGTTTCCAGCTGACTCTGCTGGATCATGGTTGTGAGGGTTGCGGCCTTCCGGGGGGTAAGGCTTAGGGTTCAGGGGGCTGGGTGCGAATAGCGTGTAGAGAGTTGTGAGAAGCTGCAGAGCCAGTTTCACCCAGTACTGGCCGGATGCAAAGTCGTGTTTCGTGGTTGCCGGCTAGCCTTCCGGATTCAGATACCTCGCGTGCCCGAGTGTGAGAGTCCACAGCACCTAAAGTTCAATCCCTAGAGAGAGCTTGAAATGCCCTGAAGAATAGAACCCAGCTATTCCTGAAGCATTAAAATTATCGCTGAAACCCGAAGCTGCCCTCAACCCGAGTGGCGGAAAGGTGCCGGCATCTCCAGCAGCATGCGCTCGACGGGTCGCCGTGCCAGCGGAGGCAGGGTTGCTAAACCTTAAACAAACCCTTCTTAAGGGCTAGCCGTTTTGGGTTTTGGGCTTGAGTTTTAGGGTTGTAGGGTTTTGGATGCGTCAGGGTAGGTAACCTTCGATTGTCGGGACTTTCATGATCCTGTTATTTGGAACATGAACCTGTTCTGGCCCAGTGCACTCGGCTGCTAAGAGCCCTGGAAGAAGGGCCATATAGAAGCAACATAAGCTGCTTAGCTATAGGCCCTAAAGCCAACAAGTCCGGCAAGCCTTGAAGAACAAACCCGTTCGCTCCTAAGCGGAGTTGCCAAGGGCAGACCGAAAAGCCCAGCATTTACAGAGACAAGCAGGTGTCTCATCACGCTCATTCACGAACCAGCTTCAGGATCGGATGCCCGAGAACGCATGAGGAGGAGATTTGGGCAAAGTTTGGTGCCATGGCTGGCAAAGAGTCCGCATTTAGGCTAAGCTGAGCGTTGGAGTGGTGACCCTGAGCAGACTCAATAGTGTAGTCAAGGAGCTTGAAGGGATTATTTTTGCTAGAAATTCCGAGTGCCATATTAGGGATTCAAATTTTGTGCACATCCCGGGCCCATGAAAGTTGAGGAAAGGACGAGTGAACTCAAGTCCTCGCAAAGTTTTGCTTGTTAACGAGGGTTGGGGATCTGTGTGGGCGCAGGAATTTGTGGCGAGGTTTCTTGCCATGAGGATATGCTGCACTTACAAGAGTAGTCCACCCCAAACTCAGTTTTGCAATCGACCGGGAATCCTTTCGCGCTAGCCGCTAGCCGCCGCTAGGTCACAGTCTAGGCACTTCTTGAGGGACTCCTTGGCATAGGTGCAGGGGCGCTTTGCCTGGAATGCTCAACAGCTTCACAAATTAGAAAGCGCGAAAGCCATGAGCCCTGAAGTCCTTGTAAAACCGTGTATTTGTTGAATACTGGATGTTGCGGGTTGGTGGTGCCAGGGATTAGATGCTTGGGGCTTTGGACCCGGAGTTTGTTCAGGGCATTTCCGAGGCATCGACTACCAAAGACCTCCGATCGGAGAACCAGCGCTGCGATGTGGAGGACTCGGAAGGCACGGTGGAGTTCGCCGTGCTAACAAGCACTCGACGGTTGTGCAGCTCCAACGCCCTAGGGCCTTTTCTCTTTGTCGGCTTTGACAGGCATAAATGGGTCCCAGACGGGAAGTACGGGAAGCATAAGACCAACCATGAGTCCAAAGTTTACAGAGGGTACTGATACCCTTGAATTATGCTTGCCCCAACAAGAGCTCCCTAAACCCAAAGCCTAACGCCCCGCATTGCACCCTAAACATACCTCAACCCCCAACCCCCCCCCCCCNNCCCCCCCCCCCCCCCCCCAAAGCCCACAGTGCTAAGATTTCACCCGGCCTGATCCCTAGAGCAGAAGCCACGAAGTTGGAACATGAATCTCGATCAACCATGGGCTATCCCAGCACCGATCATCCTAAGTCCATGTTCCAGCTTTCTGTGAAACCCTAAACCCTAAACCCTAATCCCTAAACCCTAAACCCTAAAATCCCTAAACCCCGAAACCCTCGGCATCCCGTCCTTTTAGTATCACGCCGACTGTTGCACCTATGGTTCCTCGCCCCCTAAAC